AAGATTCGGCACAGCCGAATATAGCACTCTTACTTGTTTTTACATAAATTCAGTATGTTGTGTAACAGTGGGTTAGGTGTTACATTTCATAGCATACTTTAAGGCATTATTAAAATGTATTGAATTGTAAGAAAATTTTAATATTAACGAGTTTTTAAATTTGAATTAATCTACATTTTTAATTTGATAATTTATACAATTATTTAAAGGTGGAGGTTATTTAAGATTCGGCAAAGATGATATAGCATTCTAACTTGTCATTTAACAAGTTACACACTGTAGTTTGTAACGCGTCTGCCGCGAAATGTTCAGCAACTATTGACGCGTCGGCAGCTGTCCAGGGTTGTATTTTATTTTGTGTAGAATAAAAATAAATTAAAATAAAATATATATTGCCAACAAAGAAAGAAAAATATATCAAAAAAAAAAAAATACAAAAACTTAAAATTTTGATCTTTAAAACAGTAGTACGCCTCAAAAACATTGAAAATAAAAACGAAATGACGCGTGGTGTGTAACTTGCAACTTATAGGCGCGAAAAGTTTGAAAAGCGTGAAACGCGTTGTCGTCTTACCGCGTTTTGTGTACTTTCAGCTTTACTAAATCCAGCTTTAATAAAATTGTTCCCAATCAAAAAACCCACTTTAAATGCTGCAGGCATCTCTGTTTACTTACTAAAAAAAACAACAAAACTGCAAATACGGGAACAGACATAATATCCCAGCAAAAAAAAGAACTTCCAAAGAAGCGAAAAAGAAGTAGAATTTACTCCATGGAAGTACTGAAAAAGACCTGAAGAAGTGATGATTTTAACACAGGCTTGTCATAGGAGGGATGTCCTTTTTATTTGATTCCAAAATCACTACTTCTGAAGTCATTCTCAAGAAGTACTATTTATGTTCTTTTTTTGGAAGTTATTTGAAAGTGAAATTGTGGTATTATAGAATACAACTAATTTGACTTAAATAATATTAACAAAAATAAAGGAATTACACACATTTAACATAAAACCCCAAAATGACATTTTTTAACTAAAAAAAATCTCGGTACAAAAAAATATAATATTAACAAAAATAAAGGAATTACACACATTTAACATAAAACCCCAAAATGACATTATTTAACTAAAAAAAATCTCGGTACAAAAAATATATCTTCAGTTTTGAAAAAATAGAATTATTTTCGCTTCGTTGGAAGTCATTAAACATCACTTCGACAGATGCTAAAAAAAATTCACTTAGTGCTACTTTTGAAGTGGTGATAAATGTAAATCTTTTGGAAGTACTTCGATTTTTTTTGCTGGGATGTTTTCTCATTTTAATTTTTTTTTATTTCATTTAATATCCTCCATTAATAATAACACATGGTGAAAAATGCGCATTATAACAACCCTGTTTTTGCAATTTTGCAAGATTTTTAGCAAAATATTACGAACATATGGCAACGCTACAACATAAAAATAAGAGCAAGGCGAATTCACATAAGGTGGTGTTATTCAATCAGCTGATTATTTTTTTCTTCACTTGACTGGTACGCACTGATGTCAGAGTTTGTTATTGTTTACATTTTTATATTTAAAAATTTCCGTTGAAACGGAGAAAAACTTCGTTAGTATTTTGAATAATTTATGTAAAAAATCTGAAAATACCAAGCATTTTGTAAATAAATTTTTTATTTATATAAATAATGAATAATTGATACGCATGTACCAACTTAATATAACAATAATATTTTTTCTATTAAATGTTAACAAATTAAACAATATGTAAAGCGATTAACTAAAAAAAATCTGTTCCGGAACACTTTATATAAAAAACCCACATGAAGTATTTACCCGACCGGCGGCAGCTGTCTTTTACGTTATGAATTTTGAGATCTAAAAAAATTAATAAATTGTTTTATATTTACACCGTATATATAATGTGAATAACTAACAAAATTCTATTCCGGAACACCCGTCCGGCGGCAGCTGACTACAACGTGTAAATCTTAAAAATTACTCCGCCGGAGTAAAATTTTCCATTTACAACAAAGATTCTTTCATTCAGTATATAATTTTTCCATAAATTTTTACATTTTTATGTTTATTTTTCACAAAAATTTTGCATAATTTTAGGCACAAACTTACGTTTTGCAAATTAATCTGCCGGAGTAGATTTTTTCATTTGGAACAAACATTATTCCATTCAGGGTATATTATCTTCACAAATTTTAATATTTTTATGTGTATTTTTTATAAAATATAAAAATTCCACAAAATATTTTCATTAAATGAATTCGCAGCAATTATTGTTTTTGACATCAGTGCGTACCAAATGCAAAAACAAATTACATGGAAAATTTTGTTGTTGCCGAACTGTCACCACCTTATCTGAATTCGCCTTGAATAAGAGAATCAATGAGAGGATCGCCAGAGAGCGCAATAAAAATAGAATAGAATCTATCTCAACCACAATATCGCCAACCACAGGACGATATTTTGCTCTCCATTGTTACGAGACTCTTTCGTTATTTTGGGGTGTTTCGATGCCGCCTCGACCAGCTCTACAATCGGCGTGGGAACCCAACCCGCATCCACACCACCAAGAGACTGCACCAACAAAAAAAAAAATATATATATAAAAAAAAAACTACACCAACATATCGTGGATCATGTGTTGAATCCATGTGCGTTGCCCACCCTACCATAGTCATTTGGTATCTTAATGACCCCTACACATTATCAATCCATCAACTCACCATATCATCACTCTCTTCCTCCTTTTCGGCCCACTGTACCTGGAACTTTTAGACACAATTAGTCACACATATTCTTCAACATTTTAATTTCAAGTCATATTTATTTTCTAAAACACTTAAACTACACAATAATTAAATTAAAACTAAAATTTATTTCTGATTGTTAATCTGTTGTTTTCTATTCACAAATTTGGTTTATTGCTACTTTTATTATATTTTCATATAAACAAAATTGTTTTTATCCTTAAGATTTAATCGAACGCTTTCTCAACCAATTTGTCAAACTTTAAAACTTTTCTATTTGATATTCTCAATGACTTTTTAAAATTTTAGATTCTTTTTCTTTTCTCACTTATCTTTCAAGATAGTGAAAATTCCAACACAATAAATATTTGGCTATCCAGAAACAACTATAATAATATTGTGGGTTTTCATTAAAAATGTTCTCTTCTGTATATATAAAACTAAGCTATAACGCAAACTATACTTATTCTAAATTTATATAAACAAAAAAAGTATCCTTAACTAATACAATTAACACATATTCCTATCTAAGGATCAACTAAAAAAAAAACAAAAGAGTTCCAAATCACTACTCGCAATTAAATCGTTTTTTCTTTTCTTCAGTCCCTAAAGGAGCTCCCTGAAGGATGTAGTTTGAGGTTCTATATTTTCTAATTCTTGCCTTCTTTTCCGGTAAAATATTAAATTTCTTTAGTCTGATCCCTTTACAAATTCAAGAAACTAGTTATACATAAATTTCTTAAGAACTAATGAACTAACTTATCCTAAAAAAAATGTAATAACTTTCCTCCCCTATACAGAACTACCCTAATGCCTTTTTGCTATAAAATCAAATTTCACCTTTTCTTTCGGTTTTGATCCTGAATAAATGTTCTGGTCTTTGGGGGACTAATATCAATTCTCACTTTTTCACAAGTAGGTGGCGTACTTTTTCTCTTGTTGTTCAATTACGGGGTCAACCATATATTATAACAAAGTTTAAAGTGAACCGTATTACCTTCTGTTTATTTTAAATTTGTTGAATATATTTTTCCAAATATTTATATGTCCTAAAGGATAGTTTTACAGGAATCGCCGCAGTCTGTGAATTTTCCACTTCAACGTGAGGCTTCCTACTCCTCTGGCACAATATCTATTTCATTGAAAACAATAGCAAAATGTTCTAATTGAATACATTTTTCCTTTGAAAGCATTTTCACTTTAATACTCACAGGTTTTCTTTTATATTCAAACTAAACAATTTCAAAGAGTTTTCAAACTTTCTTTACTAAAGTCACTGTTCACTATGTAAGTATTATTTCTTATTTATTAACCTCCGATTATAACTTTTTAACGCTCTTTTAAGATGTTTATTTAAAAGCTTCAGATTGTAGACTGTGCATTATTACATACTTCTGATGTCCAACTACTGACATTTTTTTTTTATTTCACATAAGAAAAGTAACTGAAAAAAACATACCAACAAATAACTTAACAAAAAAAATATAACGTATAGTCATAACATAGTGGACATCAGCACCGTTTGGTTCAATGTACTTTTAGCCTTGGCCTTGAAAATTGTCTTTTATTTAAGAGAAAATTTTTGTTGCTTTTTTATACTGTTCATATTTCTCTTCCTTCTCTGTTCTATCTCTTGTCGTAGTAATAAATGTATTATCCGAATCACCCTGTAAACATTTTGACATTTACCTTTTTTAACAATAGTAAACATTTATAACAATCATGACAATCAAATAAACAAAAAGGAAAACAACATTTTAAAAGAAAAATCAACATAGTGCCAAATAAAACCAAACAAAAAAAATTTCAAACCACTCCACTACAAGACACACAACCATCACAAAGAAAACCAAACAAGAAAACAAGGACACACAATTGAGAAACCACTATACAAACACTATCAACATCAAACGCCGGCGAAACAACGAAATATTCGGCCACATGGACACTGAATTATGGATACAGCCTGCTACCTCAACAAAACTCTGGCTTATCTAGACAGGTCGCAGAGACGACAGTGTGAGGTAAAAATTTAAAACCTTTCGTCGAAAGATTCCAACTACAGCGCCCAACGTAGGCTACACCCACGACACTACATGCCCGGCTAAGGGCAACCACACAAAAGAACAAGGACAAAAGTTATTCTTAGGGAAGGGTTCCATTTCATTTTTACATTATAAAGGGTACTTTGCTTAAGTTTCCTAATGTTTGCAGGTATCATGGGCTTCACTTAAGATACTAAACAGTGGACGAGCAATACTATTTGTATAATTAAGGAGGGAATAATCAACACATCAAGGACAACAACACGAATCTTAACCTAGGATTGCACGTAAAAATATTGCACTTGTAAGTTAAAATTGTATTATTTATCATTGAAAATATTGCACATTCGATCCTTAAAACTATATTGCACATTATCGGTTTTATTGTTTAATATCTTTGGCGTGGTAAATTCCCAACGGTCTGCCAGATAAGCTTTCCAACTCGTACATATTGTTCCCTATGACCCTTAAAATTCTACATTTTGAAATTTTTTACAAAATTTAGCGTAATTATTGTTCTTGAAATCGCTAAGGATAATTACTTTATATACTTCTTGTCCTGGGACAAATTTTACTATTCTTGCTCCGCGATTATATCTCAAAGCACTCTTTTCATACGCGTTACTCAAATTTTCCTTAATTCTATCCCTTATCAGTTTTATTCTATCCGAATTTTCGATCATGATTTCATTATCATCCAGAGCTTTTAATTGTCTGGCTAACTTGTAGTCCGAGCCGCAGGTAAACATATTTTGTCCAAATAACGCGAAAAAAGGACTACATCCTGTCGCAGAATGCCAAGAAGTTCGCAAGGATAATTCAATGTTTGATAAATTCATATCCCATTCTCTATGATCATTTTGAAGATATGCTCTGATGGCAGAAAGAACACTTTGGTTCACTCTCTCCGATGCATTTGACTGCGGAGAGTGAACAGCTGTTTTCATGTGTGTGATCTGGAAAGTTTCGATCATTTTCTCAAACTCTTTTGAAGTGAACTGTTTTCATTGTCTGAATGGATAATTTCCGGGACACCAAACACATAAAAAACTTGTTCTTTTAAAAACTTCACTACATTCGCAGTCGTAGCTTCTTTCATGGCTTTTAGAAAGACGAATTTGGTCATATGATCTACTACTATAAAAATGTATGCATTCCCAGTTTTCGATCTTGGGTATTTGCCCAGAAAATCAATATAAAGTTTTCTGAAAAGGTCTTTCTGTTATTACCCGTTTTCCTATTTCCGGTTTTAATATCATATTTGTTGGTTTAGTTTCCTTGCATATCGTACAATTTCTTACAAAGTTTCTGATTTGAGATACCATATTAGGCCAATAGTATTTAGTTCGTACTCGTTGTAACGTTTTGTTAATACCCCCATGTGCTTTATCTTCTGGTTCATGAGCTTCCCTAATCAACACGTGCGTTAACGAACTTGGAATCCATAATTTCCATCTGAATTCTTCCTGTATTTCCGAATCACTTATATTCCTCTTAAAAACTAAACCGTTTACGACTTTAATATCCGGCAATTTGCTATTATTCATCCTAACTACTTCTACTAAATCTTTATATTCTTCTGACTTGAATTCCAAAGTTTCAAAACCTAGTATTTTCTCTTTATCTATTTCTATTGCTTCTATTAATCTAGATAATGTGTCTGCTACAATGTTTTCTGCGCCTTTGCAGTGTTCTATTTGAAAATCGTAACTTTGTAACTGCAAAGCCCATCTAGCTAACCTTCCATTCAAATCTTTGAGAGACATCAGCCACTTCAAACTCGCATGATCTGTTATAACTGTGAACGGCATAAGTTCTATGTATGGTCTGAATCTTTTAATTGCTAAGACAGCAGCCAAACATTCCTTTTCTGTTACACTATAGTTTTTTGTGCTTCAATTAGCTTTTGAGAAAAGAATGAAATAGGTTTTTCATTTCCTAATTCATCTTTTTGGAACAATACAGCTCCAACAGCATAATCTGAAGCATCGCATTGAACAAAAAATCGTTCTCGAAAGTTTGGGTGTGCCAAAACCGGTGCCGTCGTCAATGCTTTTTTCAGTTCATTAAAACTTTCCATGGCCTTTTCCGTCATTTTAAATTTTTCTCCTTTCTTTATCAGGTCTGACAGTGGTGCAGTTAATGAGGAGAAATTGCGTATAAAACGGCGGTACCAGCCCGCTGTACCCAAAAAACTGCGAACTTCTCTAACAGACTTAGGCAAAGGTATATTACGAATTGCCTCTATCTTTTTGGGATCTGTTTTCATGACACCACCTCCAACAATAAACCCTAAGTAGTTAAGCTCTTTAAAACAAAATTTTGATTTTTTTAAGCCTATAGTTAAGTTTGCCTTGTTTAAACAATCTGCAACTTTTCCTAACAGTTTTAAGTGATGATTGAAATCGGCGGATATGATCAATAGATCGTCTAGATAAGTAAATACATTTTGTTTTAACTCCTGCGGAATTACCTTATCCATCAACCTACACAGTCTCTGCGCCGCGTTGCATAATCCAAACGGCATAACAACGTATTGGTAAAGAGGTCTGCCTGGAATAGTAAAAGCCGTATACGATCTAGATTTCTTTTCCAGCTCGATTTGCCAGAAGGCATATTTCAAATCGACGCTGCTAATATAATATGTTTCGTCCAGTCGACTGAGAATTCCCTCTATATTTTGTATTGGATACGCGTCCTTTATTGTTCTATCATTTAATTTTCTCGCATCTAGACATAGTCGATTTTTTTCAGGCTTTCGTACTAGCGTGCATCTGTTGCTCCAAGGACTGTTAGTTTCCTCTATAATCCCTAACTTTAACATGTTGTCCACCTCGGCATATATTAGATTCTGGACTGCAGGTGACACTGGATAATATCTATCCTTAACTGGTGTTGTGTTTTCTAACAATTCAATGGTATGAACTTCTAAATTAGTTCTTCCCAAACCATTCCTTTCAAACGTACGAAATTTATCTATAACTTTTCCTAATTCGTTTTTTTGCTGTTCATTTAAATCATGTTGTTCTATATTTTCTAACTCAAGAGGATAATTATCCGCCAAGTTTTCGGGTTTTATTTCAGATATATCGAATAATCCTGGAGCAATATCGAATTTCATTCCAAAAATCGATTCCTAAATATGCTTCCTGAATCAGATTCGGACATAAATAAAATTCAATATTATGCTTTTGTCCTTTATAATGCACCATCACATCAATCTTTCCTAAAATTTGATAATGCTTTCCCCCTGCCGTTTGAATATCAGAAAAAACTGGTTTTATTTCACTGTTTAAAATGTCTACTATCTTTTCGCAATCTTTTCCTAGTAGACTTATTGATGCTCCACTGTCCAGAAGACCTTTTACTTTTATATTATCCAGTCTTACCTCTATAAAATCTCTGGGATCTATCCTGGTGTTATCAATTTCATCACATTTTCGGACAAATTTACCTATCTCTTGAGCTATCAACTTTTTTCTCCGAAATCTGTTTCTAGTTCTCATAATCTTTTCCAGTTTCGTATTATTATCCTCATTAAATATCCTATTTCTAGTTATCATATATCTTTTTAAACGCTCTTCATAAGACCCTAATACTCTCCTATCGTTGCACTTATCCTGTTCTATTTCAATCTTTCTATCATATTTTTTTGCTAAAACTAATTTGCTATCATTGGTTTTGTCTTTTATAGATTCATCATAAACATATTGAATGCCTACATCTCTTGTTGTTAGGCAGTTGTTTGCGTGGAGCGTGATTCCGCCGTTTTTATCACACCCCTTCTCTTGTTTCCCGAACAATTGGGACAAACCGGAGTAACAACACCTATGAGTCCACATCTATAACAGAACAAATTTCTCTGAATACTCGGGCAATCAGTAAATAAGTGACCTGGCAATCTGCAGTTCCAGCAAAGAATTCTCTCTGTAGTCACCGTATTTGATTTCTTGTAAGTATTGTCCGCTTTATACTTTATTTCCTCAACTACTTCCATTTCCTTTTCCCTATCAATCTCTACTTCGACTTCCTCCACTTGTCTTCTAGGTGGTACATATCGGGTTTGTGGGATATTGAAAGATTGTTTACGGAAATAATTCCTTTCTACTTCCTTACAAGTATCTCGCAATGTTCCACAGAAAACACTTGCACAGAGTAAACTATTTGCGAAATATTTTGCCGTAAGTTTCGTTTTATTATCCTTATTATCTCATATTCTGGTAAAGGATTTCTTAATCCTGGCCCTTAATCTTCGCATAGCTAAGAAATAGTCATCGATAGACTTCCCCCTGTTGTTGTCTTCGTTCCTCAAAATCTCTTAATAGTTCATATTACGACCTTATTGAACCATATTGAACCCTAAGTGATCTTTTCAGCTCATCCCAAGATTCGATGGGTCTTTGCTGGACTAGTAACCAATACCAATCCTTTGCATCTCCCTTTAAAAGTTTGTGAAATTCTCCCTTCAAATCTTGCCATGAATAACTATGATACTTTAACATATATTCGATGCGAAATATGAAATCATCAATATATAATTTTTCTATATTTCCATCGAAACTAATATCCCATTTGTCCACGCTGATGGGGTTTTTAATTGGTCTACTAGTTGGGTAAAAACTCTGAGGTGATCCGTTTTCAAGTGGAGTATTAGAATTCGATTCCCTAAAATCTAACCTTCTTTGTGGAAATGGTTGGTTTTCCGGCTTCCTCTTTGTAGGTGCCTATTTGAGTTGGTTTTTCAACCTCCTCACTATCTAACGATTCTATACCATAACTTATTTTGCTAGTTACACTCATTTTTTGAATTTCGCTGATCATTTTTGCAAAACCTTCCTCTAAACTTTCCTGAATTTTCTTGTCTAACTTTCTTCCAATTCTGATCTATATCCTTTTACATTTTCAGCTATAAGCTCGCGTATAAGACCAGCATAAGCCCTAGGGCTATTGCCCGATGAAAAACCCTTTTGATCGTGTGGGACCTTTGGAGGTGGAAAATTAAAGGTTTTAGGAGGAGCAAAAGTTTTCGGAATTGCTCCGGTTGGTTCACTTGGGAGTACCGTCGGTGTTTCTGACAGTGGATTACTAGTATGGTGAGTATCCGGTGTTATAATACTCCCTGACATGTCTATAAATGTCCCTGTTTCCCTAGCTTCCCTATCGGCATTCATCGGAGTTCTCCCTACTGGCATTTTTTTTAAAATCTTAATATATATCTATATTGGCAAATTATATTTTTGATGTTGTTAAAAAAAAACAGCCTTAAACATAAAATAAACAAATACGCTACTATTACATAAAATACACACATACAAAATTTTTTTTACTATTACAGATTTAAACATAAATAAACGTTACAAATTTTGAATTTACTTGAATTACAAACATACAATAAGGTTTTCTAAAACAATATTTCACCACATAAAAACACAAAATATAACATAAAATTTGTCAAGACAAAATGTTTATAACATATAGGATACAATAATCTTTAATTAAAAACAATTCACTTAAAAAGTTACAGGAACAGTGGTATTCCGTCTGAACAAGAGAGTAATGATGGTTGTTGATATTCTAACGCTTTCCTTTTACGACGCGATATTCTGATATATACCTGATCGTTTTCCTTCTACATAATTCACAAATCTGCAAACTAAACTTTTCTAAATTATATTTTAGGACAGTTTATGATTTATGTTTCCGGTTTACTCAAATGAATATCCGCAAACTAGGTTTGTTACTTTACAACCTAGGACATATATTATTGTATTATTAATATTATTTCCAGTACTCGCAAGCTCAACTATTCTCTTGAGGACGATTCTGAATATATATATTTTTACTTTTCTACTAATTTTAACTGATAAGAATCCATACTAATTTGAAAATGCGCAAACTAACCTATTTTTTCTGTTAGGACGATTTCAATTTAGTACTCGAATCCTATTCCTAATTCTATTCCACACGTTTAGCTGTTGTACGCGGCCTACTTTTCCACACTAGAGTACATATTCGCGGATGTGAAAATGCATTCTAGGTTGTCTCTTTTCTACATTGGGCGCCATTTATTGTTACGAGACTCTTTCGTTATTTTGGGGTGTTTCGATGCCGCCTCGACCAGCTCTACAATCGGCGTGGGAACCCAACCCGCATCCACACCACCAAGAGACTGTACCAACAAAAAAATATATATATAAAAAAAAAAAACTACACCAACACAGAACATCGTATCGTGGATCAGGTGTTGAATCTATGTGCGTTGCCCACCCTACCATAGTCATTTGGTATCTTAATGACCCCTACACATTATCAATCCATCAACTCACCATATCATCACTCTCTTCTCCTTTTCGGCCCACTGTACCTGGAACTTTTAGACACAATTAGTCACACATATTCTTCAACATTTTAATTTCAAGTCATATTTATTTTCTAAAACACTTAAACTACACAATAATTAAATTAAAACTAAAATTTATTTCTGATTGTTAATCTGTTGTTTTCTTATCGTATAGCAAAAAGGTTTCAATAATTTTTTTAAATTTCTTATAAACGTTATTTTATTCTATTCACAAATCTTGTTTATTGCTACTTTTATTATATTTTCATATAAACAAAATTGTTTTTATCCTTAAGATTTAATCGAACGGTTTCTCAACCAATTTGTCAAACTTTAAATCTTTTCTATTTGATATTCTCAATGACTTTTTAAAATTTTAGATTCTTTTTCTTATCTCACTTATCTTTCAAGATAGTGAAAATTCCAACACAATAAATATTTGGCTATCCAGAAACAACTATAATAATATTGTGGGTTTTCATTAAAATTTTTCTCTTCCGTATATATAAAAACTAAGCTATTACGCAAACTATACTTATTCTAAATTTATATAAACAAAAAAAAAACAAATATACTTAACTAATACAATTAACACATATTCCTATCTAAGGATCAACTAAAAAAAAAACAAAAGAGTTCCAAATCACTACTCGCAATTAAATCGTTTTTTCTTTTCTTCAGTCCCTAAAGGAGCTCCCTGAAGGATGTAGTTTGAGGTTCTATATTTTCTAATTCTTGCCTTCTTTTCCGGTAAAATACTAAATTTCTTTAGTCTGATCCCTTTACAAATTCATAAATTTCTTAAGAACTAATGAACTAACTTATCCTAAAAAAAATGTAATAACTTAGCCTACTTTTTCTTTTGTTGTTCAATTACGGGGTCAACCATATATTATGACAAAGTTTAATGTGAACCGTATTACCTTCTGTTTATTTTAAATTTTGTTGAATATATTTTTCCAAATATTTATATGTCCTAAAGGATAGTTTTACAAGAATCGCCGCAGTCTGTGAATTTTTCACTTCAACGTGAGGCTTCCTACTCCTCTGGCACAATATCTATTTCATTGAAAACAATAGCAAAATGTTCTAATTGAATACATTTTTCCTTTGAAAGCATTTTCACTTTAATACTCACAGGTTTTCTTTTATATTCAATCTAAACAATTTCAAAGAGTTTTCAAACTTTCTTTACTAAAGTCACTGTTCACTATGTAAGTATTATTTCTTATTTATTAAACTCCGATTATAACTTTTTAACGCTCTTTTAAGATGTTTATTTAAAAGCTTCAGATTGTAGACTGTGCATTATTACATACTTCTGATGTCCAACTACTGACATTTTTTTTTATTTCACATAAGAAAAGTAACTGAAAAAAACATACCAACAAATAATTTAACAAAAAAAATATAACGTATAGTCATAACATAGTGGACATCAGCACAGTTTTGTTCAATGTACTTTTAGCCTTGGCCGTGAAAATTGTCTTTTATTTAAGAGAAAATTTTTGTTGCTTTTTTATACTGTTCATATTTCTCTTCCTTCTCTTTTCTATCACTTGGTAACCCTATTGTCGTAGTAATAAATCTATTATCCGAATCACCCTGTAAACATTTTGACATTTACCTTTTTTAACAATAGTAAACATTTATAACAATCAAAATAAACAAAAAGGAAAACAACATTTTAAAAGAAAAATCAACATAGTGCCAAATAAAACCAAACACAAAAAAATTTAAACCCACTCCACTACAAGACACACAACCATCACAAAGAAAACCAAACAAGAAAACAAGGACACACAATTGAGAAACCACTATACAAACACTATCAAATATTCGGCCACATGGACACCAATTATGGATACAGCCTGCTACCTCAACACCATACAAAATGTATGAAAACTCATTGTCGAAAGCGGTTGTGGTTCCAATTGTAATCAAGCTGTAAAATGTTAAATTCATAAAGTTTATTACAAATACAAATTAAACTAATCTTAATTTTGTTATTAAACATTTTAAAGCAGGTCAACTTTTTGTGAAAACAAATGTAAGTGCAAACCTAAGCAATTTTTTATTTAAAAAAATTAAAACAGTGTTAAATTTTTTAGATTGTCAAATAAAATATTGTACGAAAAGTGGCAACAAGAAAACACAAATACAATTTCAAGACAGAATCAAACAAGTACCGTAAGTTTTACAGTTATTTTGTAAAAAAACTAAAATTTTATATAATTTGCGAAGACAACAAAACGAAACTATTTTTTTAAGTTTTTTTTTATTTTTATTTTAAATAAGTCGTAGTTAAAAAAATTTTTTTCTCTTTATAATGAAGAGTTTGTTTATTTTAATACGGGATCGATCGTTCGCTTTTATTTGTAAAGAAATTAAGTTTTATATAGACACATGTCTAGAAGTTTTGGGGTCTTTACCCATGTTTGAACGTCAATAAATAAATACCTACCTTAAAACATGGAATATAAAGTTAGTCTTAGAATAATTTCCTCTTGCTGAAAAAAAGTTCTTTTGAGGATCGAAAATAAAATCATTTCGTTTGGTAATGATGCGGAAAGGATATCTCATGGTATGATGCCTTATTAAACAATAGATGAAAACAGTTATGTTTCCATAATGTAGATTTCAACTAGGCAATGACTCCAAGAACTTATCAAATATATTGCTTGGTGTCAAGTGCAGAACTTGATTCTTTTTTAATAGCAAGGTCAATTCTTCGACCTAAATTCCATATAAAAACTATGAGTTCAATTCTGTTTCACCATTTTTTGGTCGCTTGCCATTGATTTCCTTTTGTACGAATGAGAAAAAATGGAATTTCGGAATACGAGCAAGTTTATGTTTCCCTTGTTATTCCCTTTATCTAACTCTCCCGCAAACTCAGAATTGCTACAAGAAAACGTAAACATGTGGCTGCTCTAGTATTAGGTCTTCAAATTGATATATGTACATATTAATAAAACTTCTCATAACCTCAAATATGTATAATGAAAGCAAGATCATGTTTTGTAATCACAATTTGAGGTTATGTTCATGCATGTATTTGCTATAAAGACTTGAGACAAAAAATTTGTATATGCAGAAAAGCTATCTTGTGTTCGATACACTTCAGTGGATAAAGTTCCTGCCCGATATTGTCCATTTTCAATTCGAAACAAACCTTATCAATAGAGATTATTTGTGGAAAATGTCAGCCCTTTAAGCTTCTCCCATTGGGACCTTATCGTGTTTTCAACAGACAATCGGACATAGTTGTTGCTAGTCGGCAACACTTTAAAGAAACCTTTTTGGCTACATCTATAACGATCGGCCGGTCAGTGGTTAATTATGCTGCTCCATTGTGGTCAATGCTGTCCTAAGGACTGTAACGGACTGTTCGCAAATTACCTTAGAACATCGCGTACATGAGAAAACGAAGGTTTTCCGAGTCAAGAAACACAATGTCCTGTTGACTAAACAATTTCTCCTAGGATGTCACCAGAGGAGTCATCCAACTATAACATCACACAGTTGGAAGCCGGTCAGTGGTTAATTATGCTGATCGATTCTGGTCAATGCTGTCCTAAGGACTGTAACTGACTGGATTGTTCGCAAATTACCTCAGAACTTCGCCTACATGAGAAAACGAAGGTTTTCCAAGTCAAGAAACATAACATCCTGTTGACTAAACAATTCCTACTAGGATATCATCTGAGGAATTATACCAACTTTAACATCACACAACTGGCTGCTCCTCCGGAGCATGTCAGAAAGGTCCTTCGTGTATACGAGGAAAACATAAGTAGTTATGTGCAGGATCGATTCTCGTATACGTCAGCTTTGAACGACATTCATAGAGACGCCATCAATACCGTGGTCGCAGGATACCGTATGAATGTCGTACATGGAGGACCTCTACCGTCTATAGCAGACCAGAGTAGTTCTGGCACTACTTAGATCGGGATGTGGCAACAGGCTTAATGCCTACTGGTCCCGCATAGACCGTGCCGTACCTAATGAATGCCCAGCATGTGGACTGGGTCGCCACGATACTCACCTAATATTCAACTGTTCAGACAACCCCCTCATTGAATTGTTGTATAGTTTTAGCTGTTATAACAACAACAACAACGGACGGACATGGCTTAACAAATTTCATCCCAAAATCAGTTTTCCACTAAAAGATATTAAAAAAAGTAATTTTACGCTAAAAACTGGCCAAAATTTCATTTTTTTACTGAAAATCTTGACTTAAAATTTAAATTTTTCACAATAATTAAAATTTTCACTAAAAATTAAAATTTTCACTATAAATTTAAATTTTTTACAAAAATTAAATATAACATTTCACCTAGCGTTTAAAATATTTTCATAAAAAAATTTTCAAAATACAAAAACAATTTATATGAAAATAATACTAAATAACCTCTTAAATTTTCATCAAAAATTTAAATTTCCACTAAAAAATCCATATTTTTACTAAAAATTTTAATTTTTCACTAAAAATCAATTTTCACTAAAAATTCAAATTTTTTCCCAAAGAATATAAAGAAATTGGGGCTTGTCAGTTGGTACCTAAAGGAGTTGTCATTCGGTACTTAACTCTAAGAATGTATTGGTAGAATTTTTGTATAAGTATTAGAGCTTCAGCCACTTTCACCACTGTTTCCAAACCTACATAGTTGCATAAAAACGTACTTAAAAATTTTAGAAAAAATATAAAACATTTAAAATTTAATAAATACATTTTAAAATTTTTTTATTAGCTTTTTTGCAAAATATTATGTTTATTTTAAATTTATTTCTCATTTTCAATACTCAAATTTACAACTTGTTTTTTTAGTTTTATTTATAAATAATGTATACATTCCTCAAAAATTAATTGTCAAAAAATTAAAAAAATATATTTCTCGTTTACAAAAAATAAAACTATTCAGCCTATTCAAAGGTGTAAAAATCTGCAAAAAAAAAAAAAAAAAAATGCGTTGTGTGTGTGAGAAAATATGTAAGAAGTGAAATTATTTTCATATTTTCGCGAAAAAGTTTTGTGAGAGAGTCAAACTTTCACCAGAGTGTTGAATTCACACAGAACTCGTCAAAGAGAAAATGTTATTGTTGTAAAACAATGTCATAGTCCAATTTCTTATTATTCTTTTCCTACAAAATTCTAATTATTCTCTAAAAATTCTTATCTTTGCTAAAAATTAAATTTCTTTAAAAACGACTTTTCATCAAAAAGCGACTTTAACTCGATTTATCGATAATCTGTTTCGAGTAAAGGGGTTTTCTCTGATTTTCTTCTTCACCAAAGAAGGAAAAGGAAAAAAATTATTTTTTACCCAAAATGTCTTTTCAGTACTAAAAAATCAATCGCTTCTATCGTAAATTATGGCGAGAATTCCGTAAACTATTTGTTGGGGTGAGGAATCAGCCTCGCTAATGATTTCCACTGGATTTTGAATAAAGAGACACTGGTTTAAATCTTAACACAAATTTATTAATCCAATGTTTCTTATATTAAAATTCCTATAAAAATACATATTAATTCATGAGGAAATTTATAAACATAATTTTAACTTCAAATTAACAACTCACTTTTTGGTATGGAAACCACTAGAGTTAATACAATTAATAATTTTAAAATAATCTTTCGCACTGAAGACTTATCACCACGCTAGCCAACTAAGTACAAATTAAATATATTGAAATAAAATCGAGTTATAACTGGCGCGGGAACCATTTACTCCGAAAATATAGAAAATTACATTTACAATTGTAAAAGATTACATAGCAAATACGTAGTTTACACAATCAAAAAATAATATTTTTAGCAATTTTTGCCAGTGGCGGCAACACTATTCTTTCACAATAGTCACACACTATTTAATAAAAACCCCTTTATCCTATAGATACAAGTTTCATCATTGGAACCGGTTCTAAGCAATCATTCGTTATTTTATTAAAAACGGTTAAAAAAATAAATTTTCCACGATTCAGTTTAAAAATTTTCAGTTATAATTCAAAAAACAAAACAAATTGGATGATATCCTTAAAAAACTGTTTCATTTTGTTGCTTTTCTAAATAAAAGAAAAACTAACAGCATTCTATTACAGGCTCTCAAAATAAACAAATTTTTAAAGAACTTAAATGCCTTGGATACCTACAACCGACTTCGAAGAAGAGGTGGTAAATTTACAACCACATCATGACTTCATATACGGGGTCCTCTCCGAACCTCAACACAGTAGTTATCCAAGACCCAAAAACCATACAGAATATGCTGCCAACAAAAAGGTGGAAAGTAAAGAACACAAAAAACCCACCACGAAAATAAATGGAAAGTTGCATGCAATACAACAAGTACAACGTATGGCTAGCACCAAACCGGTGGGTGAACAACCCACTATTGATGATTGGGAAAATAATAAGAAAATTGAACAGGAAACATTTGGTATGATGCGTTACTGTGGCATGGGTGTAAGTGTTGAACAACCTCTAAATCAAAAAGTAACTATGGCAACATTTCCAGTGGAAAATAAAATCAAACTAGTGCAGAATGGTCGTAGAAAAGTGGCTTTGTTTTTTGATGATAATGTTTTTAAATTAAAGGAAAAGGTGTCGGATACCTCATCGGGTTTTGATAGCTGCAATAATAGTATTTCCAGCGAATTTAAAAATGATCACAATGATTCTTTAGCTTCTGTAGCGGAAAATAGCTGTAATACATCTTTTGTTAGCACTACTTCATCTTTAAATTCATTTAGTACTGCCCGAGATAATAGTGAGTCTTTTTCCATTATTTCGGCTAACAAAACATCAAATTCGCTTCAACTTAAAGATCAACGTTTACAGCAGTATCATACATTACTAGAGGACACGGCTTTGTTATCCTTGAATAGTTCTAATAGCAGTGAGAAACCATGCACTGATTCTTTTGAAACTGCCGAAGATATACCACGTTGGAAACCAATTTCAGATAATGAAGAAAATATCTTTGATAAGGCGGAAAATTGGCCGATTTTAAGTAATAATAAATATAACAGTCCTGATCCTGATAATTCATTAAATATAACTCAAAGCGATTTAGCGGATGATGTTTCTAGTGTCACCACCAACACCAGTAGCAGCACCAACAGCAATAGTAGTAATCAAGCTAAAAGAATCAACTTTTTAGATCGTTTTATTACATCGGAAAATTCGGATGATTTAAATACCACTAGATCCCTCAACCTATGCAGCTATAACTAAAACTTCGAAACCTTCAAAACAATCAACACCAAAGCATAAGGACAAAATATACAACTCTTCCAATGATATAATAGATTTTCTATACAACACAATGAATGTATGCTCTTAAACGTCATGTTAAATAGTTATCTTTTTTTTAAACATTTTAAACCAAATACTGCCAAATGGTTAGAGAGTAGATAATTTAAGTAAGAATTTTTTTAAACAAAACTTCATTGCATTACGTTTTTAAGTTTGTTCATTTCATTAATATTGTTAAACACTGAACACTTTTTTAAAATTAGTTTTAAGAATTTATAATATGAGACTTTTGGTTACTTTTTCGATCTTTTACTGGTATTAATTAAACGTTTAATGAGAATATACAACATGGAACGATAAAGTATTGAACGTAGAAACATGAAATTGAACATGAAGGGTCCACAGTGTGTGAGTATCTAAATACGATCTTTTAGTATTTTTTCGTTCTTCAACGAATACCTTTTATGTTTTCTATAATATAAGAGGACTTTTTGGGTACTTTGTAGTTTTTCAAAAGGTGTTCTTTTTAGCTTTTCAATAATATTGGTCAGAAACATAAAATTAAACACGCAGGGTTCTGTTCATGGAAATCTGTATGAATGTTCTTCAGCTGGTACTTTTTGAGTTTTCTATAATATTGAAATATAAATTAAAAAATAAGTGTTTTTTGGTTCTTTTTTGTTTCGTTTTCGTAGAAACATAAAATATGGAGTGAATGGAAATCTATAAGAAGGGACTTTTGGTACTTTTTCGCTCTACTTTCTGATTTTTCTATATAATTGGACTTAGAGGCATAAAATTAAACACACAGGGTTCCAGTTGAATGGAAATCTGCACAAAGGGAATATTTTTTACTTTTTCGTTCTTCAGCCGGTAATTTTGGAGATTTCTAAAGTAATTATTCCCAAAAATATTAAATAAACATTAAAAGTCCTTTTTGGATTATCGATAATATTGGTCTTAGAAACATCAAATTTAGCATGCAGGGTTCTGAATGAAAGGAAATGTGTATGAAGGTACTTTGGTACTTTTTATTCTTTAACTGGTACTTTCTGAATTTTCTATAATATCTCTTTTTGAGATTTCTACAATATAATAAACAGTCCTACGTGAATTAAAACCTATATGAAAGTACTTTTTTCTCAATGGTACTCTTTAAATTTTCTTTTACATTAAATCTAGAAACAAAAAACGAAAGATCTATAAGTAAAAATCCATAAGGAACTCAATGGTACATTTTGAATTTTCTATAAAAATAATTATATGTAATGTAGTGATTAAAGTATTTTTTTGTTAAAAACATTTTGGATCTTTAATTTAAATATTATTTATTGTTATGCTGTTAAATAGAGCTTTAAAAAAAACAATTTGTTTAGACCAAAAATTTATTAAAAAATTTACCTTTTTTAGTCTATATTATCAATGAGAACGAAATTTTGTAGGTGTCAAAATACGTCCACAATTTAATTACAAAAGTTTTTAATAAAATTTTCCAAAAACGGTTCCCGAGGCAAGGTATATTTATTTGGCTCCGTACTCAAAAAAAGTGGTCTCAGTAATAAAAAACTAGCAAATATTTTTACACAAAAAATTTCAATTTCAATATACATATTTTGTTCAATAATACAGTCAAATATAGAAATCATTCACTATACAAAAATAATAATTTAGTTAGTTATATGATAGAAACAATATAATTAGTTTTTATACATATATCGTCACATAAAACGCAAAAATCCCTATTTAACATTTTTTAAATTCTACAGAAGAAGCAAAAAACTATTTAAAATGGAAAGTTTAGTTTCAACGGTAAATCTCTCAGTTATTTTGACAATTTACAATTTGTATTTACAAATGATTAGTTACGTTTTTAGCCTTTATATAAAACTGCTTTTGAAGATAGGGCCCTTTGTTTTTCGTCAATAAAATCGCTAATTTTGACCAGCGGAGTCTAAATTTGTTTTGAACATTTGGTTTGATGCAATACATCAGAAAATAAAACTGTAGATTTTGAATTTTTTTTAGTTAGGGCCGTTTTAGTTTTAGGTATGTATTTTTTACGGAGGCAATGCCACAAAGTTGCACGTAGCTCTGTCCTGTTAATCCAAAATCTCGGATGTTGATGAAAATTAATTTATTTAAATTACATTAAAAAGGTGATATGAAGTGATAACAATAAGTTTAATCAATTGTATGATATTTTGAGAATTAAAATTTGCTAAAAACCTACATATGTGAAAATTATTTACATAGGTATGTATATCCCATATTAATTAAAAAATCGTTTAAAGTGTTGTTTTCAAAATTTAATTAATGCCAAAAATTTATCGCTAACGAAGTAGCGGGCAGCAAGCTAGTTCCTTATAATTTCGATTTCGATAAAAATAAGTTTATGAATTTTTAACTTTTTGACATTTTTTTTAAACTGATTATAAGAAGTTGTTTCGGAACTAGTATACGTTTCATGGAACTAGTGTATAATGCCTTTAGGAAGGCCTCTTTACTGCCACTTTTCCCGCTGCGAACTGCTGGCTGCCATGTTACCGCCAACTGCTATTGAAAATAAATTAACTTTTGTCATCTCGTATTCATTTAATCCGGATTATCTACATGGCCTTGCTCTTGCGGAATGGGCTAAAGGACTGTTAAAGTTGCATTTTTTGCTTTAAATGTGACATATGTAGATCTTCTTGATATTCTGTAAGTAATAATCATATGTATTTTCAAAAACCTTTTATTTGGGAAAATATACTAGAGATCAGGATGCACTAAGTTATTACATCATGCTAGAGATGTTTAGTTTTATTTTAAATGATTGTGTTAAATGTAAACATTAGAGGATAAATACTTGTTGACTTCCAAAATATTCCTTGTTATTTACCTATCTTTGGGGGTATAGCGATGGCTTTTTGTTATTGTTTTGAAAACGACCGCTAAAGTTGAAAAAACAAACTGGACAAATTATTTTGCCATGAAATAATCTATAATAGAAAAAAATTGACGCCCATCGGTAGTGGCTAGTCGAAATTCGTATTCTATCAAGCAAAGGTTCCGGTACTAACCATTGTGGGCTTTATGTCGTCTATAGATCCCTTCGAGTTGTCACACTATATGAATCATTTAAATGAACCCTTCAAAGATTTATTGCGTCATAATATAAAAGAAGAAAAACAACGTTTATTTGAAGGTATTCCTTCCGATCACTTGATATTCTTGCGTCTGTATCAAGAATGGAAAAATAACTTTAGAACTGAGGAATTGGTTTTTGATTTTAATATAATTTCATTTTGAATGGCCTGTTGGAACAGGACTGCAATATCCGTACTCAATTGGTTGGATCCTTAAGATCATCACAATTAATATATAGCAAAGTTGATCTAAGTATGCATTATATAAATCTCAAATCGAATTGTTCTGTCATTAAAGCCGCCCTTGTTGGTGGGATGTAACCTAATATATGCGTATTGGATTCTAAGGTTAATCGTATTAAATCGCCCTGCAGAAGAGAAATGGTTTTACATCCAAATTCTGTTTTGCGACATAGGATTTATGTGTTCGTCGAATTCTGGTTCACCGTGGATAGTGTACGGAAAAGAAAAAAATGGTTCCAGTTGTAATGGTGTCGAATGTAATACTGTTGTGACGCCCATTACTACAGTTGATTTGTTTGCAGGTAAGTTTAGTAGACTAATAATAATATCCGAGGAAAATTTTAATTAGTTAAACAACTATGTACGTAAAATTCATAATTATTCTGACTCACCTTTAATCTGTTAAAATATTTTTGTATGTAGGTATAAAACCAGCAGCTAACTATCCATTCTCCTTCTCTCAATCTATATATAAAAGGCTTGCGTAACTGACTGATTCATCATCGCCCAGCCCAAACCGTTAAAGCTAGAATCATGAAATTTTGGTTATAAGAAGGGATTACGTTTAGGGGAAGAAATGGGTAAAAAAGGATAAAATTAGTATCCTTTATATCTCCTAAAGAAGCAAAGATATAAATAAAATTCCAAATGTATCCTCTATTATACAAAAAAATAATTGATAGGTGTCTGGTACTTTTTTACAAATCTAGACTTTATAGATCTAAAAGGGTAAAAACTGTCCCCATAAACCTTCTCTTAACCTATTTATCTTCGAAAGAAATGACCATACAAATAAAACTTTAAATTTATCCTATTCTAATTAAAGTCTATTAGAAATCCTTGCGGTACTTTTTAGAAATTCGGGTAATGTGGGGATGAAAACGGTGTCTAAAATTGATACTTTTTTAAAAAAATATTTTCTCATTAGAATTATGATATGTATAATAATACAATTTATATCACATTCGTAACTTATCAAAAAATAACAAATACAAATTTAGTACTCTTTAGAAATTTGAACATTTAAGGGGTAAAATCGTACCCATTTTCAGTACAATTTTAATTAAACATTGTTTCCTATTTATCAACATACATATATGTATATTTATATACACTGACTCAAATAAGTCTCCGTACAGTATGTAGTTAAAACCATAATTTGTAATATTTTCTAAAATATTTGTCCGATTTACAAAAAATTTTTATTTTATCATAAGTGATAATGTCCTAATAAATTTTCTAATTGCAAAAATTTTAAATAATACTCTATGTTTTTGTAAATTACTTCTTAAATGCAACACCCCTATAATCAAACTCAAAAAGTCTCCGTACAACATAATGCTTAAAACTTAAACGTGTCTTAAATTTGGTAAGCATCGTTTTAATAGGGAGTTCAAAGAAAGTCGACTTGGGATAACATATCAAAAACTATTTTTCGCTGATTGTGACCGATTTACTATCGATTTCGGTGTAACAATTCCGCCATTCCGCATAAATTGCATTTTTTGAACATTGATTTGTTATAAATTGTATATTAACAAATTTTTTTCTCCAAAATTCCTCATATGTGTTCTATGGGATTATGATCTGCACTTGAGAAGTGTAGGAAGAACTTCTTTTACGTTGTGGCGTAATCATTCACTTCAAATCTTCGATGAGCGGTTTGGGTTGTTATCATAAACGTACTGAAAATCAACTCCAATTACAAATTTTATTGCATTGGCATCCAAATGCTGTTTTAAAATATTTAATTTATTATATTTTCCTTCCACGAATATGACATTTCCGAAACATTCTGCAGACATTATACCCCCCACTATCACTCTACCACCAAGGGGTTTCACACTTGCTTTATGATTTTTTTAATTCACAAGCGGTATTTTGTTCACGCCATACAAATCATCAACTTTCTGATCCGAAAATGTTGTAATTACTTTTATCTGTCAAAACATATAGTTTTCCAGTTGTATTCCGTTTTGTTTGTGTAATTTTGGGATACTCCAAGCGTTACTTTACATTATTTACTGAAATAAACAATTTCTTAGGTGGAACACATGCCTTATATTGATTCAGATGATGAAAATTTTGTCTAGTTCGTGCATTTGCATGTACATTTTCACTTCTTGTACAACTTTTGGCTATTTCCATGACACTAATTTCTGAATCATGTCTCATATCCGTTCAAATTTTCGCTCCAACTGAAAATCAATAAATTTTCCGCGGCATCTATATTTAGACGTTTATAAATTTGCCGGCTATTTTGTACTTTTCTACAATATATTAAACAGAAGACAGTGGCATAGATACAGTTTGAGAACATTTTGCAAAAAATGTTCCTTCATTACTCATTTTAATTGTTAATTCTTTGATTTCAATAGGCTTTTTAGTACCGACATTATTCCTACACTTATTTTAAATGTAAATAAAGAAAAAATTTAATGAAAAGACTTTAAAGCAGTCCTGACAACATTATAAATTTGAATACACCTTATTTTAATGCACCGTTATATTTTAGAGCTGTATCCTTTTAATGTTTTTCTTCTGTATGGAGACTTTTTTGAGTTTGATTATAGAAATAATTTACAAAAACATAGAGTATTATTTAAAATTTTTACAATTAGAAAATTTATTAGGACATTATTACCGATGATAAAAAACGATTTTTTTGTAAATCGGACAAATATTTTAGAAAATATTACAAATTATGTTTTTAAATACATTCTGTAGGGAGACTTATTTGATTCAGTGTAATTACGGGCTCTCACTACAATTTTTGGAATACAATTTCTTTTACTTAAACATTTCCTTTTCTTAAATATGTACCAAAAAAATGGAAAAATCGGAAAACTTATTTTTATCCATACTTATTGAGCCAGTTGTGATAAATTTTGTAAAATTAATTAATTTAGTCACTCGAAATAAGATAATGGCATTTTATAACAAGGCCTATATAAGTCCAAATTCTAAAAATAGTTTAATACTTTTTGAAACATATTTTTTTGAGAAATTAAAAGCAGATTTTAGACATTTTTCATTTATATCTATGATCTAAAAATTTAAGCACTTTATATTTAAAAAGTTTTAATATTAGACCTAGAAACATAAAATTAAACATCCAGCCCTGAGTGAATGAGAATTTATAATATGAGACTTTTGGTTACTTTTTCGATCTTAATGAGAATATACAACATGGAACGATAAAGTGTTCTTCAAAAGGTACTTTTTGAATTTTCTATAATATTGAACCTAGAAACATGAAATTGAACATGAAGGGTCCACAGTGTGTGAGTATCTAAATGCGATCTTTTAGTACTTTTTCGTTCTTCAGCGAATACCTTTTATGTTTTCTATAATATAAGAGGACTTTTTGGGTACTTTGTAGTTTTTCAAAAGGTGTTTTTTTAGCTTTTCAATAATATGGGTCAGAAACATAAAATTAAACACGTAGGGTTCTGTTCATGGAAATCTGTATGAATGTTCTTCAGCTGGTACTTTTTGAGTTTTCTATAATATTGAAATATAAATTAAAAAATAAGTGTTTTTTGGTTCTTTTTTGTTTCGTTTTCTAAATCTATGGGAAGGGACTTTTGGTACTTTTTCGCTCTACTTTCTGATTTTTCCATATAATTGGACTTAGAGGCATAAACTTAAACACGCAGGGTTCCAGTTGAATGGAAATCTGCACAAAGGGAATAATTTTTACCTTTTCGTTCCTCATCCGGTAATTTTGGAGATTTCTAAAGTAGTTGTATGATAGAAACAATATAATTTGTTTTTATACATATATCGTCACATAAAACTCAAAATTTTCTATTTAACATTTTTTAAATTCTACAGGAGAAGCAAAAAACTATTTAAAATGGAAAGTTTAGTTTCAATCAGCGCGATTTGTTTTTCTTCAAAAGACATTTTTAATGGTAAATTTCTGACAATTTACAATTTGTATTTACAAATGATTAGTTACGTCTTTTAGCCTTTATATAAAACTGCTTTTGAAGATAGGGCCCTTTTGAACATTTGGCTTGATGTAATACATCAGAAAATGAAAATGTCCATTTTTAATTTTTTTAGTTAGGCCCGTTTTGGTTTTAGGTATGTATTTTTTACGGAGGCAAAGCCACAAAGTTGCACGTGGCTCTGACCCTGTTAATCCAAAATCTCGGATGGTGATGAAAATGAATTTATTTAAATTAGAGTAAAAAGGTGATATGAAGTGATAAAAATAAGTTTAATAAATTGTATGATATTTTGAGAATACAAAACTTCAGTAATTACATATGTGAAAATTATTTACATATGTATATTCCATATTAATTAAAAAATCGTTTAATGTGTTGTTTTCAAAATTTAATTAATGCCAAAAATTTATCGCTAACGAAGTAGCGGGCAGCAAGCCAATTTTAGACACCGTTTTCATCCCTTCATTACCAGAATTTCTAAAAAGTACCGAAAGGATTTCTAATAGATTTTAATTATAATAGGATAAACTTAAAGTTTTATTTGCATGGTCATTTGTTTCGAACATAAATAGGTTAAGAGAAGGTTCTATGGGGACAGTTTTTACCCTTTTAGCTCTATAAAGTCTAGATTTTTAAAAAAAGTACCAGACACCTATCAATTATTTTTTTGTATAATAGAGGATACATTTGGAATTTTATTTATATCTTTGCTTCTTTAGGAGATATAAAGGATACTAATTTTATCCTTTTTTACCCATTTCTTCCCGTAAACGTAATCCCTTCTTAGTGGATCTATACAATGCCAAAGGAACCTATAACCAAAATTTCATGATTCTAGCTTTAACGGTTTGGGCTGGGCGATGATGAATCTGTCAGTCAATCAGTCACGCAAGCCAATGGATAGTTAGCTGCTAGTTTCATACCTACATCCTGTACAAAAATATTTTAACAGATTAAAGGTGAGTCAGAATAATTATGAATTTTACGTACATAGTTGTTTAACTAATTAAAATTTTCCTCGGATATTATTATTAGTCTACTAAACTCACCTGCAAACAAATCAACTGTAGTAGTGGGCGTCACAACCATTTTTTTCTTTTCCGTACACTATCCACGGTGAACCAGAATTCAACGAACACATAACCTATGTCGCAAAACAGAATTTGGATGTAAAACCATTTCTCTTCTGCAGGGCGATTTAATACGATTAACCTTAGAATCCAATACGCATATATTAGGATACATCCCACCAACAAGGGCGGCTTTAATGACAGAACAATTCGATTTGAGATTTATATAATGCATACTAAGATCAACTTTGCTATATATTAATTGTGATGATCTTAAGGATCCAACCAATTGAGTACGGATATTGCAGTCCTGTTCCAACAGGCCATTCAAAATGAAATTATATTAAAATCAAAAACCAATTCCTCATTTCTAAAGTTATTTTTCCATTCTTGATACAGACGCAAGAATATCAAGTGATCGGAAGGAATACCTTCAAATAAACGTTGTTTTTCTTCTTTTATATTATGACGCAATAAATCTTTGAAGGGTTCATTTAAATGATTCATATAGTGTGACAACTCTAAGGGATCTATAGTCGACATAAAGCCCACAATGGTTAGTACCGGAACCAAACATTGCAACAAAGTAGCAATCACCATATTTTGACTCTTTGCTTGATAGAATACGAATTTCGACTAGCCACTACCGATGGGCGTCAACTTTTTTCTATTATGGATTATTTGATGGCAAAATAATTTGTCCAGTTTGTTTTTTCAACTTTAGCAGTCGTTTTCAAAAACATAACAAAAAGCCATCACTATACCCCCAAAGGTAGGTAAATAACAAGGAATATTTTGGAAGTCAACAAGTATTTATCCTCTAATGTTTACATTTAACACAATCATTTAAAATAAAACTAAACATCTCTACCATGATGTAATAACTTAGTGCATCCTGATCTCTAGTATATTTTCCCAAATAAAAGGTTTTTGAAAATACATATGATTATTACTTACAGAATATCAAGAAGATCTACGTATGTCACATTTAAAGCAAAAAATGCAACTTTAACAGTCCATTAGCCCATTCCGCAAGAGCAACGCCATGTAGATAATCCGGATTAAATGAATACGAGATGACAAAAGTTAATTTATGTATTTTCAATAGCAGTTGGCGGTAACATGGCAGCCAGCAGTTCGCAGCGGGAAAAATTGGCAGTAAAGAGGCCTTCCTAAAGGCATTACACACTATAATATGAGACTTTTGGTTACTTTTTCGATATTTTACTGGTATTAATTAAACGTTTAATGAGAATATACAACATGGAACGATAAAGTGTTCTTCAAAAGGTACTTTTTGAATTTTCTATAATATTGAACCTAGAAACATGAAATTGAACATGAAGGGTCCACAGTGTGTGAGTATCTAAATGCGATCTTTTAGTACTTTTTTGTTCTTCAACGAATACCTTTTATGTTTTCTTTAATATAAGAGGACTTTTTGGGTACTTTGTAGTTTTTCAAAGGGTGTTTTTTAGCTTTTCAATAATATTGGTTAGAAACATAAAATTTAACACGCAGGGTTCTGTTCATGGAAATCTGTATGAATGTTCTTCAGCTGGTACTTTTTGAGTTTTCTATAATATTGAAATATAAATTAAAAAATAAGTGTTTTTTGGTTCTTTTTTGTTTCGTTTTCGTAGAAACATAAAATATGGAGTGAATGGAAATCTATAGGAAGGGACTTTTGGTACTTTTTCGCTCTACTTTCTGATTTTTCTATATAATTGGACTTAGAGGCATAAAATTAAACACGCAGGGTTCCAGTTGAATGGAAATCTGCACAAAGGGAATAATTTTTACCTTTTCGTTCCTCATCCGTTAATTTTGGAGATTTCTAAAGTAGTTGTATGATAGAAACAATATAATTTGTTTTTATACCTATATCGTCACATAAAACGCAAAAATCCCTATTTAACATTTTTTAAATTCTACAGGAGAAGCAAAATACTATTTAAAATGGAAAGTTTAGTTTCAATCAGCGCGATTTGTTTTTCTTCAAAAGACATTTTTTAACGGTAAATTTCTCAGTTGTTTTGACAATTTACAATTTGTATTTACAAATGATTAGTTACTTCTTTTAGCCTTTATATAAAACTGCTTTTGAAGATAGGGCCCTTTTGAACATTTGGCTTGATGTAATACATCAGAAAATGAAAATGTCGATTTTGATTTTTTTTTAGTTAGACCCGTTTTAGTTTTAGGTATGTATTTTTTACGGAGGCAAAGCCACAAAGTTGTCCTGTTAATCCAAAATCTCGGATGTTGATGAAAATTAATTTATTTAAATTAGAGTAAAAAGGTGATATGAAGTGATAAAAATAAGTTTAATAAATTGTATGATATTTTGAGAATACAAAACTTCAGTAATTACATATGTGAAAATTATTTACATATGTATATTCCATATTAATTAAAAAATCGTTTAATGTGTTGTTTTCAAAATTTAATTAATGCAAAAAATTTATCGCTAACGAAGTAGCGGGCAGCAAGCCAATTTTAGACACCGTTTTCATCCCTTCATTACCCGAATTTCTAAAAAGTACCGAAAGGATTTCTAATAAACTTTAATTATAATAGGATAAATTTAAAGTTTTATTTGCATGGTCGTTTGTTTCGAACATAAATAGGTTAAGAGAAGGTTCTATGGGGACAGTTTTTACCCTTTTAGCTCTATAAAGTCTAGATTTTTAAAAAAAGTACCAGACACCTATCAATTATTTTTTTGTATAATAAAGGATACATTTGGAATTTTATTTATATCTTTGCTTTTTTAGGAGATATAAAGGATACTAATTTTATCCTTTTTTACCCATTTCTTCCCCTAAACGTAATCCCTTCTTAGTGGATCTATACAATGCCAAAGGAACCTATAACCAAAATTTCATGATTCTAGCTTTAACGGTTTGGGCTGGGCGATGATGAATCAGTCAGTCAATCAGTCACGCAAGCCTTTTATATATAGATTGAGAGAAGGAGAATGGATAGTTAGCTGCTGGTTTCATACCTACATCCTGTACAAAAATATTTTAACAGATTAAAGGTGAGTCAGAATAATTATGAATTTTACGTACATAGTTGTTTAACTAATTAAAATTTTCCTCGGATATTATTATTAGTCTACTAAACTCACCTGCAAACAAATCAACTGTAGTAGTGGGCGTCACAACAGTATTACATTCGACACCATTACAACTGGAACCATTTTTTTCTTTTCCGTACACTATCCACGGTGAACCAGAATTCAACGAACACATAACCTATGTCGCAAAACAGAATTTGGATGTAAAACCATTTCTCTTCTGCAGGGCGATTTAATACGATTAACCTTAGAATCCAATACGCATATATTAGGATACATCCCACCAACAAGGGCGGCTTTAATGACAGAACAATTCGATTTGAGATTTATATAATGCATACTGAGATCAATTTTTCTATATATTAATTGTGATGATCTTAAGGATCCAACCAATTGATGATTGAATTCAAAATGAAATTATATTAAAATCAAAAACCAATTCCTCATTTCTAAAGTTATTTTTCCATTCTTGATACAGACGCAAGAATATCAAGTGATCGGAAGGAATACCTTCAAATAAACGTTGTTTTTCTTCTTTTATATTATGACGCAATAAATCATTGAAGGGTTCATTTACATGATTCATATAGTGTGACAACTCTGAGGGATCTATAGTCGACATAAAGCCCACAATGGTTAGTACCGGAACCAAACATAGCAACAAAGTAGCAATCAACATATTTTGGCTCTTTGCTTGATAGAATACGAATATCGACTAGCCACTACCGATGGGCGTCAACTTTTTTCTATTATGGATTATTTCATGGCAGAATAATTTGTCCAGTTGGTTTTTTCAACTTTAGCAGTCGTTTTCAAAACAATAACAAAAAGCCATCACTATACCCCCAAAGGTTGGTAAATAACAAGGAATATTTTGGAAGTCAACAAGTATTTATCCTCTAATGTTTACATTTAACACAATCATTTAAAATAAAACTAAACATCTCTAGCATGATGTAATAACTTAGTGCATCCTGATTTCTAGTATATTTTCCCAAATAAAAGGTTTTTGAAAATACATATGATTATTACTTACAGAATATCAAGAAGATCTACATATGTCACATTTAAAGCAAAAAACTTTAACAGTCCATTAGCCCATTCCGCAAGAGCAACGCCATGTAGATAATCCGGATTAAATGAATACGAGATGACAAAAGTTAATTTATTTTCAATAGCAGTTGGCGGTAACATGGCAGCCAGCAGTTCGCAGCGGGAAAAAGTGGCATTATACACTATAATATGAGACTTTTGGTTACTTTTTCGATCTTTTACTGGTATTAATTAAACGTTTAATGAGAATATACAACATGGAACGATAAAGTGTTCTTCAAAAGGTACTTTTTGAATTTTCTATAATATTGAACCTAGAAACATGAAATTGAACATGAAGGGTCCACAGTGTGTGAGTATCTAAATGTGATCTTTTAGTACTTTTTCGTTCTTCAACGAATACCTTTTATGTTTTCTTTAATATAAGAGGACTTTTTGGGTACTTTGTAGTTTTTCAAAGGGTGCTTTTTAGCTTTTCAATAATATTGGTCAGAAACATAAAATTAAACACGCAGGGTTCTGTTCATTGTGACGGCTAGACAACAATATTTATTTATTTGACCGTAATTTGGTTTAAATAATTTATTTTTGACAATAGTTTCTACCAATTTTATGTTCACATTATTATGAAAAAAAAGAAGAAAAAACGGAAAAACAAAATATAAATATATGCTCATATCTTAACAAATACAAAATATGTAAATAATTATTAAATATCGGTTAAGATATGAATAAAATATTTTAATACATGTAAAATAATCTTGGCGTAAACACCATATTTAAGATCATTGTATATTTAAAAGCTATTCCTAATTTTTTTATGTATAATTATTGTTAGATATTTGTAACTTCTATTATTAATTATTCAGTTTTATTGTAAAGTATAATTATTCAATTATGATTTTTCTGATTATTCTGTATTTTTGGGAGTAAAACTAAATTGTTAGTATTTTAAAAACTTGATTTATAAATAAATGTAATGAACTTTGTATAAAAATTCTTTGAAGATGTGGTAAACAATATTCAAATAGGTTGATATGTAGCAGGATTGAAGAAAACTAATAGTCCAATATTTTATTAGGGACATTATTTAATTTTTTTTTGAATTTTTTTTAACAGGCAAGAATGATGTCACGGATGACTGATATCAGTCATAGTGGGAGGGTAGCCTGTACAGGAACTTTCCATCTAATCCTGGAGACTTAAGTCCACTGAAGTAAAGTGTGTCATCTTTGTCCGATCGTCCAAAGTCAGTCCGCTAAATACACCAGGTGATACGAACAAGAATACTTTTTTTTTAATTTATATGGCACGAATTTGTTAATTGTGAAAACCTGCGGAAAAACAACCCCCCCAATCCGGCGAGCTACAGCCGCGGCGAAGACCAGTGTGCCATATCCTCTCAACCACAAGGAGGTTTATCACAATTGGCGCCCAACGCAAAGCATTAAAAAAAAATGCATATACCCAGTACGAGGTTCCTTTCAATGATACGATATGTCCTGGAAGGTACATAAAAGTACCAGGCCTAAGTCGCGATCGATCCGTGAAAGTAGCTGATTACTGAGGAGAGTCAATGGAATCCAATTCAATTCCAAGTTTGAACAGAAAGCATGATCCGAAAACCTAGTTAGTTAGAGTTCATTTGTTTTAGTTTTAAATGAGATAAGATGAAATTCTATGATTCTCAAAATTATTTTATGAAGTAAATTGTTCACGATTAAACATTTTGGACGAAAGTTCAAGAATGAAGTTAACACACAAACTTAACAGTAATTAAATTTATTGGATTTTTCTTTAGAATTGAAAAACAATTATAAATTTTATAGTACAAATATCGAATAATATATTCAATTCTCTAAATCTATTTAGAGTAATTAGAACACTCTTTATTCAAGTGATTATTGTACATCTGGATTAAGTACTCTGAACACTATTAGTTTTTTATTATATCCATGCTACGAAATGCCAACCGAACTATACATATATTGATTTTAATCTGAAAAGAAAATTGTATTTATTAATATTTACTCACTACAATTAATACTAATATTAATATTTATACGTATACCATTAATGTTATACTAATTTATTTCCTATTTACTTTAAACCAATAACAATCATACGCCAACTGGACAGACAAAACATTAGTATATTTTCTTAGAAAGACAAATCACAAAAATTATATATAGACAAACTAATATTCTCAAATTTAGAACATATTTCAACTGCTATTAACTAATAATATATATATATATATATATATATATATATATATATATATATATATATATATATATATATATATATATATATATATATATATATATATATATATATATATATATATATATATATATATATATATATATTTAATAATTATTATACCCTTCACCTTCGTGAGAAAGGTATATATAAGTTTGTCATTCCGTTTGTAATTTCTATAATATAATTTTCCGACCCCAACCCGTCTGTCTGTCTGTCCGTCCATCTGTGTGTTTGTTAAAATCAGTTTTTAGAGGACCCCAGATATCGGCGAGATCCGAATCTTCAATAATTCTGTTAGACATGCTTTCGAGAAGATCGCTATTTAAATTCAGTTTCGAATATTTGGATGTCTGTTGGTTTCGTTTCGTTGCGTTGTGTATTTTGTTTTTTTTTTTTTTGAGTATTTCGTTTTGTATGTTTGGATGGCTGTGTGTTTCATTGCCTTCTGTATCAGGGATGGCAATTTTGATGTTCAAAAGTACCGTGATACTCCCGAGTCTTATATGATACTCTCAGGGCCAATATCTCAACCTCCGGATATACTGCCGGTTAAAATAATTTTTGTATGTAAAATGTCAATTTATCGTTATGATAAAACATAATCACACAATGAGAAAATGGGGGTCACAGTATCTTTAAAAGTTAAAATTTGAAATTCTAAGAATGTTTTGAAATCTAGTTTTAAAAGCCACTTTTTAGAAGTATGTTTTGCAAATAACCAATGCAGCTCATTTCGAATTTTTATCTTGATTGGCATTATATGAATATTAATCTAATTAAATTCCATTGGGCCAATATCTCAACCTCCGGATATACTGCCGGTTAAAATAATTTTTGTATGTAAAATGTCAATTTATCGTTATGATAAAACATAATCACACAATGAGAAAATGGGGGTCACAGTATCTTTAAAAGTTAAAATTTGAAATTCTAAGAATGTTTTGAAATCTAGTTTTAAAAGCCACTTTTTAGAAGTATGTTTTGCAAATAACCAATGCAGCTCATTTCGAATTTTTATCTTGATTGGCATTATATGAATATTAATCTAATTAAATTCCATTGTTAATATTATATGAGAAAATTACCAAAAATTTCAATTTTGAAAAAATATTCGACTTTAAAACTAATTATTTCCAAATGATAGAAGCTCGAAGGACTCAATTTCTATCTAATATAAAACGATATGTTTTGAAATTAAGAATTCAACCATAGATAATAAGAGAAATTTTGGTGAAAATTATTTGGACTTTAAAGCAAATTATTGTTTCATGTCATGGATGGTCTTATGTATTGTCTCATGTGTAGAATTCGATATGACTATTGATTTTTTAACAAATGAAGACCTATGTACATCGAATTTTAATTTAATAACACATATGTATATTAGGGTGGCCCCAAAATGGAAATTGCTGATGTTCCCACCGAAAATGAAAATTTAGTTCATTCTAAGATACCATTTCTCAAAATTTTTGTCCTGACGTCAATATTTGGTGAGCTGGATCAAAGGATAAAAAGGTCCTTTTTAGGGTTTTTATGTTATTTTTTTCACATTTTTGACAAATAAACCATATGCAAATTTAGTATCATATGAAAGGTCCTTGGGAGACGATTTCAATGACATACACAAATTTGTATACAACACCAAAATGATTACAAATGTCGTAATTTTTCGGAAAAATTTTAAGTTTTTCATATTTTTACATAGAAATATATATATATATGGGCAATTCCATACGCTTGTATGTGACATTCACACGTCTTCAGAGTGGTATAGGTTTTGTAAAATTAGGAGTACTTGGAAAACAATTTTGTCATTCTATTCCATTAAAAGACTACTATATTTGCAAAAGGAATCATCCTATTCGGAACCTTGTTTTCCAAAATATGGATTAAAATATGGCGATATCATACGTGACAAAAAACGGAAGTGTTTTTAAAGAACATGTAAATTTTTACGAAAATCTGCGAATTCTGTAAGTGTATCTTTTTTGTTTTAATTTCTTACACTATGGGAC